GTCGTTCTGTCAGTGCTGATGTAAGAGAGGAAGTGGAGCAGCAGCAGTAGCAGCAGCAGTAGTGTATCATTAGACCAGTGTGAGAGGATTAAACAGAATGGATTCTCTGCTTAAACCAATGATTATCTGTGATTTCTCTCTCTGTAGAGGAGTTTATTAAAATATGTTCCTGCGTAACTGCTTTTATACAAAACAACATTAGAAAATAATCAGTTTACACCAAATAAACACCATAATCTTATGAAAGTGTTATAAATAAATTAGTCGGAGAAGTGCACAACGCCATCTAGAGGAATGCTACACCATCGATGTTTCTGGTTAAAATATTTACCACTGTAGGACATCCCCACTAGGTGGCAGTAGTGCAACACAAAAAACTAACGGATTTAGGGCAAGGTTAGCAGGATTAGTTTAGCCGAGATGAGCCTTCCTTTGCTAAGATGACACTGAATGCAATTTTTAGTATTTCGCAGTGATATGTGTTTTTTCCAGCCGCCCATCTTTCTGTATTTTGCTCATGTTAATATTAAAACATAGATATTAACATATAAGAACCTGTGTATTACTGCAATAGCTTCATATTTACTATATATCACCAAATCCTAATAAGAGCCGGTCCTATTGCGTACCAACAGTGGTATTTGCACCAGGGCTTTAGAAGCACTGTTATAATAATAGTTTAATTGGCACTAAAAATAGTTTGAATAGTTTAAAAGTGAATACCAGTAATCACACTGGAGCAGCTGGACCTGACCTTCCACATCCTAGTTCAAATCCATATCCCACAGTATATACAGTACTTACAGTGTGTACATTTTGGACAGTATATACAGTATGTAGTATAAATGATGCAGAGGCTGCGCTGACGTCTCCCAGGAGCTCCGCCAGCTCAGCTGCTGCCGCTGCTGCTGCTGCCAGGAAAAAGGCTGAGACTTTGCCCTTTTTAGCCACTTAACAAAAAGTTGACCTGATAAAATCAATGACTGCTTAAGTCTACAATATCTTAAAAAATGTCGCTGCTTTATCTGGCTGTTATACAGCCTCCGGTGGCCAAACATGCACATATGCAAACTGCACATTTTCCTTTGCCAAAATCCATGGCTAAAATCCGCTAACAAGGACACAGAGGTGTGTGCTGTGTGCTGGGTCAACAGAAGTGTGTCACCCCAGGTTACTCTCTCTGCTGCGCCCCCTTGTGGTTGTTAAATGAGTCAAAAGTCTCCATCCGGTCGTAACATCACCAGTAAAAATGAGAGTGGCTGTTATTCCTGGGCCATGACCAATGTTTGTAAAACTCCGATGTCAATAACAGGTTTAGCGTTATACAACATCGTAGTATTAGTTTATATAGCATCGATGTAGTGAATGTAGTAGTAGTGTAGTAGTTGTCTTTAATAGAAGTCATTGCATCACTGAGGTGCCTGCTGTCACAATGGTCAGTTGTAGTGGTCAGTATAATTATTGTGGTCAATATGGCCGTTGTGGTCATTATAGTTGTTATGATGAATTTAGTTGTCATAGTAAAAAAACGAGCACATCTGCCAGTTTCTAATCTCAGCTCACACCACTGCTCTAGTCTGTTTTTATTATTTATTACATTTTATCAACTGGACCAGGTCACTACACTATTCACCTTCTACCCTGAATATATTCCGGACCATTTTTATATTTTATTCTACGTATCTTATTTTTGTTACATTTTTCACTTCCATAAAATACTTCTGCAGGAGCAGCTGTACCACCAGCGTTCCTCCCCCAGGGGTCAATAAAGTAGTTCTGATTCTGAAAACTTCTTAAAACTCATTATTCTGAAGGACATTTGTATGGAGTTACTGCCAAAGTCAATGGGTAATTGTAAATACTATATAATATTGACATTATAAACAATCCTCTAATGGGGACAAAATGTGTTTCTGTTTATTTTAAACTGTTTGGGGACAGTTCTTTACAGCACTGGTCCCCAACCTGGGCCAGTACCAACCGCTACTACTACTAATTATTAAGGTTCATTACATTTTATAGAATATTTAAATGAAGAAAGTTAGTAGTGTGTAGATTATCTTTGAATGAAGTAAATCAGCACAAGTAAAATTATTTTTTCACTATGTCCCACTGAAGATCAGTGCCAAATTATCTATGTACCAGTACCGGTCTGCGGACCGGGGCTTGGGGATCCCTGCTTTACAGCCTCAGTCATTCATTTCTTACATACAGTCTCTGTGTGACACACCCCCACCAGCAATGCAACCAGGTGTCAATGCTTTATAAAACCATACTTCAAAAACTGGAAAGGTTCCCTGTAAACAAATTTACCCATGATCCTCTGCTTCACTGCAGCCAGACTCTATCAGCACACAGCAGCTTTACTTCTTAGAGTTTCATGTGGCTGCTGTATATTTGAGCAACTGTGCTGCTGCTTGTTTCGCAGAAGAAATCCTTAGAATGGGACAGTGGCACACACACACCCACATACACACACACACACCCACACACACCCACA